TTTTGGGCTTGTATTTGAACAAACTCCTCCTAGGGAATTTATTGGATCTGCTTCAAAATTGGTCAGTACAGTCAAAACATGGTGCTGAATGAACGCTGTTCAATTTGTAACTGTACGTTGAAGGGCGTGTCCGTGGCGTGCCATCAAAGTTGGCCATTTTTAAGTCTGTGGTCATTTTCGGTGAATTTTGGCCTTGCATATGAACAAACTCGTCCTAGGGAATTTCTGGGATCTGTGTCAAAATTGGTCAGTACAGTCACAAAATGGTGCTGAATGAACGCTGTTCATTTTTTCACTGTACGTTGAAGGGCGTGTCCGTGGCGTGCAGTCAAAGTTGGCCATTTTGAAGTCAGTGGTCTTGTATTTGAACAAACAAACTCCTATGGAATTTATCAGATCTGCTTCAAAACTTGACAGCACTCTTGAATAATGTTGCTGATTACAAGTTGTGCTATTTATGACTGTACGTTGAAGGGCGTGTCCGTGGTGTGCCGTCAAAGTTGGCCATTTTGAACGAATGTCACACTGTGATGTCATTTTTGGCATTTCAGGGCTTCTATTTTAACTAACTCCTCCTACAGGTTTTATTGGATCTACTTCAAAACTGGTCAGTGCAGTCAGATTTTTTCGTCCAACATTGTGCCCGTGGCGTGGTGTCCCGTGGCATCCAATTTCGATCCTTCGCCATAAAAAGAGGGATTCGTCATAACTTCTGCATACATGATCCAAGTGCAACGAAACTTAACCTGTCTGATAAGAGTCCCGCCCTGAACACATAGTGATAGCGCCACCTAGTGGCAACAGGAAGTAAGTGCTGCGTGGCGATTTTGAGCTGATTTACGTGACATTTTCATGTTGTGGTACGCACTTGTTACGACGGCACGTGACGTGGCCACAGCACACCCCAGCAGCACGTGACGCTGCCGCAGCACGCCCCAACGCGTGCCGGTTGCGAGATCCCGTTCATCACTGCTTGCAGCTTTAATTTAATTAGAAATCCACAACATCTACCTAAAATTACTGTACATGATACTTCAGTTTAGTTCAATTTGTTTAATTATTTATCCCCAAATCATCTGGGCATTGTGTCTTATCTTTGACCCTCAATTGTTATATGACAAATGGTTATGAATATACATACTCCTTCCTCTGGTCATAAGGAGTTTTGTGCTTTTGGACAATAGTTTGTTTTGACCACAAATAATAAGAAAAATGAGGTAAATTTTAGCTGTAATAGGCAGAAATTGTGACAGAAACACAGATTTTAACAGCTTATGCAAGTATGAAGGAACAACTTGCTCTAACTAGCTGCAGTTCTCCTTGGTTCCCTTAATGGCGAGCTGGATTGATTAGTGCAGGGAGGATGGGCGGCCGTGCGGCCTGCTGCCTCATTACTCTCAGTTTGCAGGTGTTCTCGATGCTTCGGTGCCCCTGCTGCCTTGGCACAGAGAAGACAGAGGACAGAGACCAGACCCACCTCGTTCATCTTGCGCGCTGTGATGGAGGTCATGCAGGAAAGCACTCTTGCTCAGAATAAGTCGCTGGGAGTGACAGATGGAGTTGCAGAACGGGAGGGGAATCAGCTCAGCCTCAAAGTGTTTCATTTGTTTTTCATCTCAGGAAGGCGGCTGCAAGCACACTTTTGATGACAGCACCCGCCAGGCTTACTTTATGGTTATGTAAGGCACCCTGACTCTGTGTGTTTGAATTTTACTACATCTTGATGAAAGTGTGAATGTGTTCACTGATTGCGTGTTTATTGTAGGGTTAGAACAGCGCAATATGTCTATGCTGTGTTTACCTTGCGAGAGCATGGCGATGGAATAGCTGTGGTAGACACATAATGGAAATGAAAATAATGCACTCCTGTCATTTTATCAAGATGCATTGAAATGAAGAAGAATGTACACTATATACACACATGCATCTACAAATAGGCAACCCTGTCTCTTAGAAATTATGTTTGTATATTACTGAATTGTTTTCATAATTACCTTGTGATGACAACGTAATACCTGCCAGCGTTATGTTCAGTGACCTCTTTTTTTAGGATGCATTACATTTATGTCCTTAAAAAAAAACTATTACTAAAAATACATGTGTACTAGAGTGAGCTTCACATAACATAGATAACATGCACATACACACATATATTTATATAAACAAGAATATATTTTAAAATAAAAGGTACAACCAGTGGGTCAGCTGGTTAAACACATTATTTAAGGTAATAATCTCTTAGGGTTTTCTTGGACAGATGTCCTTCGGTGATGATTGTCTATCTGTTAAAGAAAAGGTAAATTTTCAGTCATAATCTGGCCGTCATGATTTCATTATATACTTCTTTGACTCTTTCCTTTCATTGTCTGTTGGTTGGTTGGTTGGTTTTATTCTTCCTTACCACAAGGAACATCAGCATGGTACATCTCTTAGTATAAAGTAGCACATCAGTGTTTAAAATGGTTTTGATCTCAGCATGTATGCCTACCGTGTACCACTAAAAGAATGCGGATGTCACTTGTCACTGGGGTTTGAAAATAACTTGTTTTTCGAGACATTTCTGAAGACAGAGTGGGGTTGAGTTAGGTAACTCATTCCACTTAAAACAGGAGTAGAGTTTGAATTGAAGTTATTAACATTTTGGGACTTGGCAGATACGTTCATTAGCAATGTTTCCTCATGTGAAAAAAAAGACCTAATCCGGGCAGCATTACGTTTCTATCAAAACATATTAGCTGTTGCAAATTAGTAGTATATAAATGCGTAATTTTTAGGAGACAGGGTTGTTAAAGTTCCCATTTGAATGTCATCAGCAGAGACATTTAAAAGAAATGCAAAACAACAGATTTGTTCTTACAAGCTGCCTCGTCAAATGACAAAATCTGAGAGCATAACGTCAGCTGAATAGCCATCCAGCTTGTCACAGTCGTCCTAATTGCCATGTTAGAGCAAGGATACGCCTGAGACACAGGTCTCATTATTCTGACTTTTCATTTCACAAATACTTTGCAAATTCTTTCTCCCTGACTTCAACTGCCGTCACTTATTGTTCCATCTCAGAGCAGAGTAGTTCTGGATCATAAACTCCATCTCCTCACATTTGCATATTCTCTCCAGAGCCACAAAGTCTGCACTTGCCTCAGCTGTCTCCTCAGGTGAGAGGCTAGACCATCACATAAAAAGAAACGTGTCAGGCTATGCGAATATCATGGGCTCTGCAATTAAGCAATGTGACCACACCTGTTGTTGTAAGTCTCCTGAATTTATGCAGCTTATTGTTGTGCGGTGCATTATCTTGACATTCTCAGTAGGCTTTAATTATTGAAAGACTTAAAAATGTGCTGTAGAGTTCATCAGTGCTCTGCAACACTCAGCATAGGGCTGCAAAGAAAGAAACAAGTAGGTGGGCGGGGGGCAATTAGAGTGTAGAGCAGCTTCCACTCGACTCTTGTCCCAGAGGAATTCTGTCCTCACATTGTGGTTCCAGTCAATAATTCAGCCACTGGATTTAACCATTTGTCATCATATCAAACTGCCCATTGCTACTGTGACTGGCTTTTAGAGGGGCTGGAACAAAGGGCTGTCAGGGTGGAAGAGTGCATCCAGGTTGAGCAATTCATCAGTTAGTTAAAGTGAGAATATTGCAACGGCTTTGTCCTTCAAACTGAACGACACATATTAATGTTTTCTGATCTGTTGCCCGATCATTTGTCAGTGTCTCCTAGAACCCCTACCTATGAATATTACAAAAATTATTCATATGACAAGGTACATTTATTTATCATTGAAAAACACGGTTATATAACCGAATGCAAGTTGCAGTCTCTTTATAGTGGAGTACAGAGGACAAATTGAGGAGTCTCACAGCCTGAGGAAAGAAGCTGCTCTGTAGTCTGATGATACAGCAGCGGATACTTCTGTACCTCTTGGCAGACGGTAGCAAGGTTAACATGCTGTGGTTGGGGTGGGTGCTGTCTGTTAGACTGTTAGACTAAACAGGCCATGAGCAGCTGCTGTGAGACTCTATGAGTCCGCTGCCACAGCCATTTGTAAAAGTTTATGTTTGGTACGATTGTACCAAAATAAAAAATAGAAAAATACAGTGTAAACTCCTGTGAATGAGACGTCTTCATCTGCATACATTTGAAAATATTTCACAGACACAAGGGATGGGCTGCTGATTAGAAGTGTCATCACATAAGTTAGCCCGATCATTTGTCAGTGGCCGACACTTTGTCAGCATTGGCCTTGCAAGGTTCAGGATTATTTAAAACAGTAGACGTCGTGTTGAGCCATTTTTAACCCGTGAAATACCTTTTTTTATAAATTTGGTAAGAATGTCCATATTATTTCAATACAGCACAGTCCTATCATTTGGTTTAGAGCTCAAAAAACATGTTTAAGAAGCCCTATAAGATCTATAGATGTTAGTGCTTTTGTTGCTAGTAGTAGTATTAAGTTAGGGATAATGCCCGACAAGGATTTGTTATGCTAATAATGTCATAATTCACATGTAGAAGTTATAATGAGTCATTTTAGGTCTTTGAACGAAAACATTTCAATATTTTTTCTCCTGAGGACAGTCTCTGCTTTTCTATATAGCTTATATTGCTGCAGAAGAAAGAAATATGGTTTACCATAGTCCATAAATGTTTTTTCATTGATGTTAAGTGTTTGCCTAAAAACAAAAAAAACCTACAAAATTAAATTAAAATGTGCGTTAAAAATGAATAAACGTATTTTTATTCACAAGGAACTATTTTGCTGCTGGTCACCAGCCACATGCAGGAAATCACAAAGTATCTGCTCATTAAATGGATGACTTGGATATTTTTAGTCTGTAACATGTTGTTATGAATAAATTATCCTATTCCAGAGTGGTTACAGAGTGAGTATGTTCAGTCAAACCATTTCCTCTTGAACACATATAAAAGCATGACAGTGTTGTTGAGAGCACAGAGGCACTGTAAAGGTCACATCAGTTCAACACAAACACAATCTACAATTCCATCATCAACTGCCATTTATTAGTATCAAACCACTGCTACAAAATTACATCAAACATGATGAAAATGGACTTGCATACGTGCTATACACAATGTAAGCTTTAAAGTAATTAAAGTACATGGATTTTCTTATATCTGGACAAATATCAATATATATGTATATATATTATATATAGATATATCAATGCCACTTAAAGCCATATATATCATTCCAGTGATCTAGAGCCTATAAATGTACAACTATATCCCTGGTGGCTAAAGGACCATCATACACATTTGAGTAAACATTTCTGTTCCAGACTTCTCATCACATAATTTTTCAGCATGATGATTTGAAGATTTAAATAAAACAAACATTAAAAAAGAGAAATAAAAGCCCACATAGAAGAAATTTAGGATGTCTCTGTCAACCTCATAATGTTCCGTTCCCATTTTTTGTAAAAAGAACAGAAACGGCGTACGCAATTATATTCAATTTAGAGAAACAAACAGAAGCAATGCCGCACCTCATACCTTTAACTCTACTAGAGGTCACTCCATTTAAACAAAGACAACACTGAGGACACATACGATGAACTGGTGCTACAAAGAACTGATTTGCTGTGTCATTCAGTGTATATAAAACAATGTGTAATCTGCCTTTTGAGGCATGAAAACAAATAAAATAGGATTACATTTACTGTCAGTCAAATGGTGACATTCTCTCTATGGCAAACTGTTCGATCCTTCAAGAAAACTGACAATTGCCCGGGAGCTTTACGTGAAAACGCTTCGCAGTGTGTGATTCAGTCATCGGCGTCATGGAGAGACCTGGCTTAGATAGCTTGCTTTAAAACCCAGGCATTATCTCAGGCTCTGCATCATTGCCTGGCAACTTATTTTCCAGTTCAGTGGAAATAATGAGGGACAGGTTGACAAATACTTGATGCAACCTCTTTTTAAAATAGCACGTCCCCCCTACATTGGCAGCTGCCACAATATCAGAGGGATTTCAAAGAAAATGGAGAGTCACACCAGTCAGAAATTACTCACTGTTTTTGTACCAATTTAAATGTTTCAGAGAAAAGAAAGAGGCCTGTTTAAAAAACCTGAGCATTTTTATGCCATTTACAACTGAATGAAGCTTGCCCAGAGACTGGTTATTAGAGAAATAATTTTCTTGTTTCTTTTTCTGCCTTCGTTTAACAGTAGGGGTAGTTTTTGACTGCTGTGCAACAAACCTATCTACCATACTGAATGCTAGCACTCAAGAAACAGAGGTTTTTTTGATACGACAACTCAGTATGCTGCTCAGGGAAGTCGGATGGCGACTGCAGGAGGCAGCAGATCCAGTGTGTAGTATGACACAATCTCCCAGTTAAAACTGACAAAGGCACAGGAAGAGTTTCATTAACCGCAGGGTCAGGAGGAATCCCTCTCTCACAACTCCTTCACTCTCCTCTCTGTTCATGCTGGCCACAGACGCCTTTGTTGAAGAGCCAAACAACATTTTGACACAACGCTAATAATTTCCATAACCTACAGTATATACTGCCTTAATTTTGCTGCAGGATAACGCTGTTTTACATATGTTAATTTGCAGAATGAAAACTGCAAACATCCGGCATTGAGCGGTCACATGACAATACACTAAAGCATTGTGTGCTGAAAACATACGCTGACAGGTTGAATATTTGTATTAGCTGCAACACAAAATGACTCCTTGTCAGTATTTATTCATGTTTGTCTTTTAAGACTGTAAATGCCACTTGCAATATATTGCCTCACCTCCCTACGTCAGCTTTCATTGGCAACACCGTATCTGAGTTTGTCACAATGTTTCCTACAGTGACAACCAAAGTCACACATCATCTGCAAAATATTTCTTGTTGTTTGTTTAAACTTAGTTTTTTTTTTTTTTTAACTGCAGCAGGAACATTTTAGATAGAATCAGATACAGTATGTCAATCACAGAAAATATTAATGAACGTCCCTGTCGAACACAGCCCTGCCCGTGTTACAGAATGAAACCAAACAGTTTGTCTATACAGTTTGACCTGAAAATATCTAGGATGAAGATGATTCGAACCCTGCTCCTGTTTCCCTGGAAGATAAATACACACAATTACACTGAACTTTAACTATGTATTAATCATAATTATTTATAATTATGATGACACTTCACTATGTTTCATTCATTTTTTAAATTTGTATTCTATGCTACTTGTGGGTTACATGTGTCAGAATAACTATTAAACTTAATTATCTTTCAGAAACCACTCTTCTTCAAACAAGCACAAACACATAGTCATGTTATTATATGATATCTGCAACCAATGTGGAATGCTTGTGGAGTGAGGGATTGATGGTTTGGTTGATGTTATAAATGGCCAATGTAATCAAAACGGTAAAGTGAGCAATAATTTTTTATTATTGAACAGCTAAAATATTTGTTGTGGCAATAATGCTCTAAATAAGGGTTATGATTGATAAAATACTTTAAAGGCACATTCAGTACAGTACTTGTCCTCCTCCAAGAGTTTAAACACCTTGTTGTTTCCAAACTTTTGTCATAAATGTATTCAAACAGAACAGTATGATTCAGATACATCGGGGTGAGAGGAGGAGGATGCTTTGAAATGGGTAATTTAAAAATTCAGGGTGGGGATAGTGGGGCCGTAATAATACGCACTGGCATGAATATTTAAAATCCTCTTATCTTAAATTCAAAAGTGGAGAGATTTTTTTCCCTCCGCTGTCAGCTGGGAGCGAGGTGAGGCAGTGATCTCTGCAGGTGGGTGGCGTGGCCTCTTTTCAGCTTATACATCAACAAGACTTTTTCAACTGAACTTTTATGAGGTAGGTCACACAACCATGGATGTGTTAGTCAAGAGTGTATTCAGGTCATAGGATACTTGAAAGCCTTGTGCTGTTGAGGGGGAAAAAAAGGTAGCAGTGATTTATGTTTGTAAATATCGCCAGATCATATATACTGAGCGACAAACTCCAGTCAATGATGATGATGCAGTGCAAACTGTGGTTAATCCTATGTACTGTGGCATCTGGCCATCTGGGCTCAGGAGGATTTATACAGTGTTTGAGGGCAGAGGGGAGGGGATCAAATATGCATGATACTGCAAAATTAAGATGATTCAATAACTGAAGCTACACTGTACGAGCAGAGAATAGTCCCAGCAGTGTTTGAGCCAGTATTGTCCAGTATGGGGTTCAAATGGACCCAGTAGTACTTCTACAGGGGCAATAAACGTTGTGAGCGCTCAAACATAATACTAACATGATATGAGAATTTATTTTAGACATATACCTTTGTTTCGTTTGTGATTGTTCTTAACAAAAGATATATTTTAAATTATAAAATATTGTGAAGCAAATAGAGCGATCGAGTTCCCTCCTTTGTCTCACCAGGGTTTAACTGTGCCACTAGCAATTACATTTCAATCAGTATTTTAATTCAAGTTCACTTCAAAGAACTATAATACATCTGTATGTAGAAAACCAGACCAGCTTACAGTAGCTCACATGTTTTTCATTCTTTTAATCATGACATAAAAATAAAAATCTGGTGACAATTAAAGCTGAAGGTATATAATTTAAACTGGTCCTAAATTGATCCAATTGTAATGTTAGCCAACGTGCTGTCAACCAACGTAAAATTGTTTATAGACCAAGAGAAACATTAGGTAGCTGTTTTCCTCCTAACACTTTATCTGGATAGTCCACCTATAGATACACTATGGAGTATTTGTAACATTTCAATATCTAATTAGTTGAGATCCAACAACCGTTTTCTGACATTACACAACTGTGGTTAAGGTTTGGTTATTTTTAGGCATAAAAAACATATTGGTTAGGGTATGCTCATGAATTGTCACATACACTATAAATAATTTATCATCTAGAGTCAAATGTTACACATACTCTATAAACTATATATGGGTGGACAACCTAAATAAAGTGTTAAATTCTTACTAAGTTTTAAAAAATGATCTAAATGGTACTGACTCTCTTCTCCAACAAACCATCTTTGGCAGATCAAACAGGCACCAGCTTGCATTCTTACCAGGTAACAGCCAACAGTTTCCTTCTGAGTTTAGCTAACTCACAATATAAATATTGATACAGCTTATAGAGAAAAGGGTGCAGGGGTAGGGGTAATGCAGTGACGGAGCACTTTATGTTTTAAGAACATATCGTAATCTGGCTCAAACCCTGTCCCAGTGATAATGACAACCCCTTTGCTCATTAACTCAGATATGGGTTTATATTGTAACATGAAGACTTTTATTGCAAATAATAGTTGTTCGATAAAAGGGACTTGTTAATACCATTATTCAAAAGAATCAACATCCAGTACATTTCATATGGAATACTAGCATGGTCTTAACTGCTTAGACAAGCAACCAACATAACTCCAGACTGTCACCAATGTGCCACAATAATCATTATGACTCTGAATAGCAGTTGTTTTAGTTTATCAGCGAAGTTGATTCAAATAAATCACAAACAATCATAGCCTGGTGGTCTGTAGGAGGTATGTATTTTTAGACCAGGTTTAAGAACCAACTGTGTTGAAAAGCTGGTTCCATTCATAAAAAGTATGAATATCTGTAAAATGGCCACCTCAAAAAACACAGGTTAACTTTGACATGCAGCACAACCATACTCTCTGCACATCGTCAAACACGCAAGTGTGTGAAAACTATGACTACACACTGGCTCTAAAGACCAAAAGGTATCCTATTTTCTCCAAATATACACACATTGATTCTGTTCTATAATACTGTTATATTGGTTCACACCCTCTCACTTTCAAAAAGTAGGTAATTTGATTGCAAACATTGTTCTTTTTAATGTACTCGTCTGACAAAAAATCAACAACAGTTATGGCATCTAAATGAACCCGACAACATTATAAACTATGCCATACTGTGCCTCATTCAAATAAATGTCACATATCCAGTTTTACAGTTTCAAATCTATTTTTTATACATTGTTTTCATAAAGGAAGAGAATAAATATATTTCTGACCCATTTTCATTATACCTTAACATTTAAACAAGATCATATGGTGCAGTATTTTCATAATTTGTAAAACAAGCTGATAACAATTTCAGTACAAACAATAAAATAAAAGAAAATGTTTAGCAGACCTTAAAACAAATCATCACAAAACGTTAAAGTAATAACAGTGTTTGTGCTTTAAGTCTTTTAACTGCGATGGCTATTTCTCTATAGGTTTGCAGTTACAAGTTCATGTGAAAATACTGTGTGAACTTGGGTACTATTAGTCCCTCGATCGTGGGCCAAAATATAACACAATCCAAATCCAAAGCAAGACTTGCAAACATGTCAACCTGCACGACAAATACTGCATTTTTATCAGATGCATCTGGCTTATTTGAAAATACCTGCGAGAGCCATAAGTTGAGAATTGTTTGTCTTTACTGAATAGAATGCCTAATTTGAAAGATAAGTCAGCTATTGGTTAATGAACATTCAATAATCAGTAATATGTCAAACAAATGAGTTGTATTTTATTCTGGAAGTGTCCTTTTAAAGGAGGTTCATTTAATGTCTATGGTACTATTAAGGCATTACAGTACAGTATCTCTGTTTACACCATGGATTGAAGATAGTTAAGGATGAATATGCCCTGTCTTGTCATAAAGTAAACCGTTACAATAATGTTGTTTTTGAGCCTTGATATGGTTGATTTCAGTGAACAAAAAGCCACATTTTCTTCTATTAAACGACCTCATGGTTTAATTTGTTCTCAACCCTGCCGGATGTTCACTGGCGCCGTGGACACTGTTTGAGTGTTTAATAAAACGGACACTCATCTTGGAGGAGCTCTTAGCACCTTAGACCATGTTTGTAGTGATGAGCATGTTCAGAAACTTTATTTTGTGTTCTGTTTCTCATAATTAACTTGAGAAGCACTCACAAAGCAGGTTTCATTATTAGTACCTTTTTTGTACTTTACCAATTATGTTTCGCCGGAAATCTTAAGTTACATGGCGTGAATTTCCGTTACTTGTTAACTGGTACAATTAAATAAATATATTTACTGTAACAGTGATTGTAATATATTTAAGTATTGAACTATCTGTAAAGAAAGATAGCTGCTGCTTTGCCAGAATCCATTATCTAAGTATCTTCAAAAACTTCAAGCGACCTACGGTGTGCAGCTGTGGGTTTTCAGCCAGTAGATGATCAATAGGTACACAGCAAATTCAGAGACAAAACCCTCTGCTCAGACGCCCACTGAAGTGGCATGTTTCAAAGAACTGCATCTTTAAGAGAAAAGCTTAAAACAGTTGAACTCGCTTTTTCTCCCCAACAGCAACAGTTTGTTGCAACATTCACAAATATGTGGACTCACTGAAAAAAAAAAGTATGCAGTATATACTGTAGTATTTATATTTTCAAGAAAAATGTAAACATAGGGCAGCGATGTTCCTCCCTTCATACTGTACAAAGTCATGAACTGTGTTAATGTTCTTGGTCGAATGAGAAAAGCTGGTCCCACTTCAAAATAAAAGCCTACACTATATTAAAATATAAAGATACAATACAGTATACCTTGCTACTTTGACGGCTGCCTGATCAAATCTGTTAGGCAGGCATAGTAACTGAAGGACCCATTTCAGAATACAACAAAGCACACCTTCAACACTGTTCATCCATCTATTGAGTAATCATGACAATACAGGTCCTGAAAAAGCCCTGCCTATTTTGTTCTTTTGTTTTTTTTCGGTTTTTCTGTATTTTTTTTTTTTTAGCACACTCCATAATCTGAATTTGTATTGTTAGGAATCTAAATGTCTTTCCTTTGTTCAACAACCCATAATACATTCAATACAACATTGGTATGGTAATTCTGTGTACTGAGAGACTTGGCACAATTGCGTCTTTTTAGCCATGTACAAAAACGGATGGAAATGTCAATTTTGCTCCATCGCCTCCCAGAGAAAGAGGCATGAAAGTAACTCATTTGGGAAGTTTAGGGGCTTTTGATATGAGTGGAGGTGGAGTGGGGCTGGGGCTGAGCACTGATTCACAAGGTGGTCAATCAATCATAAAAGAAGATAGGAAATAATAATAATAAAAAAAACATCATAGTATTTACATGACAGAAATTTCACCAAAAAGCAAAGAAAAAAATAAAATTCCCCACACAAAGTAACGCTGATTATTTTCCCCTTACGGCTTTTCAACAAACTGTACCAGATTGGATTCCAGCCATCAGCAATGTCAAAAAGGATTCATAAATGCTCTCGACAGTCATTGTGTCTGGGCTGGCCTCTGCTAGTACACGCTGATGAAGGAGGAGAGAGCCAGGACCAGGTATCGGCAGGCCAGCGGGACGTATGCGCTTCCTGTGCTCCCATAGGGTGCAGTGTTGGGCGCTGTGGGCAGGAAACAAGAGAAGCTCTGATTAGTTGTGATTGCACTTTCACTCTGCAGCACCCAGCATTTGAAAACCCACAGTCAGCTTGGTATGGTGCTTCTAAATGAGACTGTAAAAACTGTAATTACTGTACCACTGCTGCTGTTTTGAGTTGGTTTCTCCATTTGTAAGAGAAACTCATACTTCACAACTCTGTTGCTGCTCTGTATTCAGAACAGTGGTGGAAGTTTTCAGATCCTGTACTTCATGTTTAAAGATACCAACGCCACCATATAAAATTACTCAACTGCATAACCATTTCAGTTCTCAGTGCTTGTGTATATTAGCAAATATCAAAATTAAAGTTCTCATTGAGCAGAAACTTGGCCCCTGTGACTGATATATTATTATATTTCACAATGTTAGCTTGTCAACACTGATGTTATAAAATGTGAGCAGCATATTACTGTTGTAGCTGGTTGAGGTGGAGCTAGTTTTAACTACTTTATACACAGTTAGTAGTTGGTTTAATCCAGTGGTTCCCGACCTGGTGGTCAGGTCCCTCCAAATGATCACAAGATAAGTCTGAGGCTTAATGAGATAATTAATCAAGTCAAGTCAACTGGGGAACATTCTCTATTTTTTGGTTTTCACCACTGAACCGTTATTTAAATGAAACCATTGTAGTTTCAGAGAGGAAATCAGCCTTTGGTGGAACTGCTAACAATTCATAAACAGCTGATAACTTTTTTGTAATCACACACAAGCCAAAGATATTGGGAACCACTGGTTTAATCTTTAAATATTGTATATACAATAGTCAAATAGAACAATAATGAATCTGATATGTTTTTTATGAAAAAAAACCAAACAAACATAAATTAAACACATTAAAAAGGCATCTACTGCTTCTACCTCATTAGAAATTCCAGAATATATGAATATGCAAACTTCACTGCAGCAATTAGCACTTCAACACATAAACATACAAATACATAAATAAATAACTGGTAAGGTGCTTGAACTCAACTTCACTAGAAATCTTTCGAGAACCTTTAATGACCACAAAGGTAAAAACATGACTCTCAGATAAACTTTCTCAGATGCTCTTAAATAATACATCTGCTTAAAATGTAAAGCTCTTTGAATATCAACATGTAAATTGTCCTACATAATTCCTTTAGTCAAAAGTCAGTAATCCATGTTGGCAAATGGTTCAGGTTCCTCAACAGAAAATCCAATTTTTGACATATTTTCACACTGCACCACTAACTTTAATCTTAATGCTAACTGAAAACAACACACACTGTCACAGGGGGTGGAGATGTGTTAACAGTCTGAGTTTGACAGGCAGCATCTCTATTTGTTTAAAATCTGTGGAATATCTGCAGAGGTGTCGTCGGGATTCGATGGGCCTGCTGATCTTAGAGATACTGAGGCTTACTTTACAGCTCCCTCACTATCCTCTGCTGTAAGGGTGGGACAACTTATCCGGTTATGACTCTTATTGATCCATAGATGTTTTTGACTTCACATAACTCCACACAGCTTTTAGAGTGTCTGATTAAATAGAAAATCGTGTGGGGTGAGCAGGGCACCTTTAATCTGAAAAGTAACTTGAATAGTAAGCAACTAAAAGTGAAGCAAAGGAACGATTATTTCTTCTGAAATGTAGAAGTAAAAGGTGCCTCAAAAGTGTATGTAATTGTGCAGTGCTTCATTAAACACCCGTCTTACTTATTCTAAATTATTCCAAAATACTTTTCATTTTCTAGTTGGGTGTCAAAACACGTATTCCCCCTTTCCTCTCTTTCATATTAGTGGTACAAAATAAGCCATCAGTGGTGAAGAGGAGAATAGATGAGGGCTACACAAGGTCTTTTCTTCACTTTCCTATCGAAGGCGGCTTTGTTTTGTGCTGTTTGTGTTTCTCTGACCAGCAGACAGCCACAGTAATATGAACAGGTCTCTCTGGAGAGCTACGTCAGGCGGGCAGAGAGGGAGAGGGCAGCCTTTCATTTGGAGGGGCTACTCTGGCTCCTCAACACAGACACACTCTTTTAGCTTGTAGCTCAATAAAGCACACCACGCAGGTTACAAAACATGCTCTGCCTCAGCACACACACACACACCCACACATATACCTTCATGTACAGGTCACGTGCATGCTTGCACACACACACACACACACACACACACACACACACACACACACACACAAAACGTGCACGCACACACTCAGCGCAGCAAGGCAGTGCAAACAGGCTCTGCTCTACCAAGGGAAATCATGTGGTGCACAGCCCATATCAGCAGGGTGCCTCTATTTACACGGCCATGTAATTAGTTCGCAATGTAACTCCTATGATGCGGACCTCACGTTGCACAAACACACCGAGCAAAGTGAACATGTACATAACCACGCACACATACTGTACACACACACACACACACACACACACACACACACACACACACACACACAAATGCAATCATGAACATATAAAGTGCTTTTGATTATGTGTTTCTGAGGTTAGAAACAACTCTTATGGTTGCACATTTTGCAGAAGAGGATTGTTATCCCACTGTGCTGTTGTTATTGTGAGCTGTGTATTTATTCAATAAGAACCAGAGCTGGTTGTCATTAGAGCACATGGCTGTTGGTGTGTTAAAATAAATACAATGGTGCAGAGATTGATCTTTTTTACCAACATAATAGCTTGTTGGTGACAATTTTCAGAGGAGATGCCACAGAGGGAGACAGAAAAAAGACACACATCCCATTATCACCTGACACAGCACTGCTTTTACCTGATATTTTCAAGCATTATTTGTCGGCACAGAAGTTGTTTACCTATTAGAGTGAAAACTATAGCTCCACTGACAGATGGAAAAAGGGGGAAAAAAAGGGAAAAGTAGTGAATAGAGGAGCACAAATGGGTGCAAATTTTGATGATGTGTGTGTTAGATGCATGGCTGGCCTGTGTGAACTGCAGCCCCCCCTCCCCTCTTCTTTCTCCTTTCTATCTTTGTCTCCGCTTTCTACCTCATTCTTTTTCTTTGTATCCCTCCCCTCTCTCTTTCTCTCTCTCTTCCTCTCTCTCTTCTTCTATCCAAAGTACAGGATAATGACACAGTTTTCCTGGGCTGCGAGAGCGAGCCGAGAAATGGTAACCATAGCAACAGCTCCTGTCCTGCTCAGCCGGCCCACTGTTGCCGGAGCCTGAGTGCGCTCCATTGTGCTAGCCACGCTAGCAAAAATCATTTGGGGTGTGTGTGTGCGTCTTTGTGCGTGTATGTTTGTGGTGGTGGGTGGGGAATAGGCAGATGTCACTATTTTCCTTCTTTGGTTTCTCATCTGATGAGTGTCAGTGTAGTCTTTGGCTCAGTAAATGCTGCAGTAATCACATTAATATCTTGTACACAACTGCTTTTCATGCAGCAGTTCAGGGAGCTCGCAAGGTAATTACTGGATCTCTGCTATGACTAATGTCGACTGGGCTGGAGAGCGTGACAATAAACCCCTCAGTGCTTCCGGAGGGGAAGAGTTGGAGGATAGTCAGTGTTACTGGGTTCCTGCCTCTTCACAGTGTTTGATTTTGGGCCTTGTTTAATATCTTCTTGTGTCACTACAAAAAGCAGGGGCCTCCATTGTTTTGACTGTGTGGGTTGTAACTTGCCATTTTAATTAACTCCCCAACCAGGAACTGCCTGCAACACCATTACTCTGCTTATTAACATGAAGGGAATAGAAGGGGAAAGAGACAGAGACAGACAGAGAGCGAGCGCCAAAAAAAGACAGATATGGGGGAGAAGAAGGGGAATCAAAGGAAGAGAGAGCTGGGAAAAAAGACAGTGATTGAAAGGGGTGCGAGTGCGAGGCTGCAGTAGCAGCAGCGGACAGGAGGGAGAAGTGAAGAAGAAGAGGGGGGGCTCTGACTGAGCTGTACCTCTTTGGGGTTTGAATTTAATTGCCATGTACATCAGCATCGAGCTACAATGAATTACCAGAATCCCAGACAATATATCATAGAGAAACCAACAGTGTCAAGATGCGCAAACGCTGGCAAGACAAGCAGCGCTCCAAAGGGAGAAGAGCGGAAGGAGATAAGTGGAGATGAAAGTGATACGCTTCAATTACTGTTTTGCAACCGAATTGAAATGAAAAACTAGAGCCTGCCCAGTTCTAGCCAGAGTCATATGAAAATAACAATCCCTGGTTCTCTGCTCTGATTCTGGACTAGAGCCATCAGCTTTAAATAGTGTGCTGGGAGTGTGAGCCTCCCTCTCTCTCTGTCTCTCTCTCTCTCTCGTCCTTCTTCCCTCCCCCTTCCCTCCCAAATCTCCATCGACAGCAGTTTTGTCACCCACATATCATATGCACAACAAATGCTAAGGCCTTGAACTTCAGTCACTGTTGACACAGATAATGAATCATATTGAAATATGCAACAGTGACACTCGATGCAGGGTTTGTGTTGAGTACCATCTCGAGTGTTATGCATCGTACAGTAATTCACTGGAACATCATTATTCATTAAGTAATAGCTCGAGCTCCTTTCCCTTCCTCTTTTCAGCCCTTTGACTAACACACATGCTGGCTTTCTAAGGTTTGTGAAAATCCATTCAGCAATCCTTAGTACTGTGTTTGCTCGCCTTAAGTTTCACACATGTTCCGTAATGCATACATGAAAATGCAAGAGGCAAGAAGGACAGAGCAAAATCTCCCATGTTTTTTGTGCTGTGTTGAGTCTCCAATCCATTCGTCGTTTAGCGGATGATTCATCCCCTTGAGTTGGTCGTATCCTCCAAGCAGGCTGTCACAAGTGGCGCACAGACGGCAGCCAGCCAGGCAGCATCCCAATCCCCCCGAGGACACGGCTTCAGAGATGGGCTCCTCTGAGCAGGGGTGGTGGGGGAGGGGTTCACTGTCCTTGACCATCAATCAGTGGCCTCTGGTCCTCCCCCCGCCGCTCCCCTGAGAGAGCCCACATGAGACACTCCTGAGCCAGAACTGATCCT